CAATGGAGGTTTTAATACATTATTTACAGGCTCATTTTCCTAAATCAAAATTAATTTTCAATATACATTTCATAATATAAATATTATATAACACTGTATGATAAATTTTAATAATGCTAACCTGTTCATTAGTTTGTCCATTAACTTGTGCTTGCCCACCATTCACTTGCCCACCTTGTGCTTGACCACTTTGTGCTTGCCTGCCATTCGCTTGCCTATGTTGTGCTTGCCCACCATGTGCTTGCCTGCCTTGTGCTTGCCCATCTTGTGCTTGCCCACCTTGTGCTTGCCAACCTTGTGCTTGCCCGCCTTGTGCTTGCCTGCCTTGTGCTTGCCCACCTTGTGCTTGCCAACTTTGTGCTTGCCCGTCTTATGCTTGCCCACCTTGTGCTTGCTCACCTTATGCTTGCCCGCTTTGTGTTTGCCTGCTTTGTGCTTGCCTGCTTTGTGCTTACCTGCTCTGTGCTTGCCTACACACTTGCGCTTGTAGTTCATTGGCTTGTGCTTGTTCATTAATTTGCACTTGTTCATTATCATCTTGTGCTTGTAGTTCATTAAATTGCATCTGTTCATTGGCTTGTACTTGTTATTCATTGGCTTGTGCTTGTAGTTCATCGGCTTGTGCTTGTAGTTCATCAGCTTGTGCTTGTAGTTCATTGGCTTGTGCTTGAAAAGATGGTATGTTTAATATTTTTTCAAGACAATGTGGAGTTGACATTTCAATATATCGATTTGGTGTTTCGTAGTCTTTATATTTGCAAGGACAACAATTATATTTCATAATACACTTCCCATGAAAGAAGTGCCTGCAGCTGAGTAAAATTACCAATTGCAAAAGATTAAAAGAAATTTCACATCTACATATTTTGCAAATATCAAGGTCTCTATATTCCACAGGAATTAAATCATCATCGTCATTGAAGTACAATTTACAAGCAAATTTTTTTAGTTCGTTCATAATTAGTAGGAAAAATGGTTTTACTGTGCACTCATCCTATTGCTTTATAAATACATTATAAAAAAATAGATTTAAGAATTAGTAATCAAATAATATAGACTCGTAAGTATAAATTTTATTATGAGTTTAATTTTAACTAGCATCATTCCTGTTACTATAAAAAAGTATAACATAAGTATAATTCTTACTATAAGATTAAATTTTGGCTATCGTCATTACTGTTACTATAGAAAAGTATAATGTCATAATGATTTAAA